CCCCAAAACCCCAAAACCCCAAAACCCCTAGAAGAGGAATATCATATAAGTGAAGTGAAAACAAATTGAAGCAATATTAAATATTAATATACTTAACTCTAAAGTAAGCAACATGGTTGAAAAGCAACACGACGTCGACTACACTGACCCAGAGGAGTCCAAGACTACCAATGTAAGAAATTTAGTTCCTCTTAACTGTGCCAACTTATAGACTGACTTGCCAGAAGTTCAAAAGGTCACTGGTGAAGAGCAAGAAGAATGCATTTTCAAAATGAGATGCAAGCTCTACAGAATGAGAGATGATCAATGGAAAGAGAGAGGCACAGGCAATTGCAAGCTCATGAGACACAAGGAAAACAAGAAGATCAGATTCGTTATGAGACAAGAGAAGACTCTTAAGCCAGTAGGCAACTTCATCCGTAAGCTTTCGCAACCACTATATTCATGATTTCTTACTTCAAATTATCTATAGTCCAAGAATCACCTTTGTGCGATCTCATTCCAATGAAGAACAACGATAAGGCTTACACCTGGTCCTGCAATGACTGCTCAGAGGAAGCCAAAATCGAGATGCTTGCTTGCAGACTCCAGACTGTTGAGAGTATATTTACCAATTTGAGTTAATGTTTACCTTAATAGATGCTAACAAGTTCAAGGAGGCTTTCGAGGCTGCCAAGAAGTTCAACCAACTTGTCAAGGATGATAAGATTGATGAACTCGTCTACGTTCCAGCTATCGAAGATATTGAGGAACAACCAGACCCAGCTGATGACCCAGACAAGAATAAAACTGCTGGAGAAGAGGGAGACGCTGCTGGTGCAGATGATGAATGAGATTAAAGCTGTCTGATAATAATTTATTGTTCTATCTAAAAGCTATTTATTCTATGATTGTACAATACCGTCCATACTAATCCTATCTTTCCCCCTAATACTCAATGTCTAACAAAATATATCATATTTAAACAAACAGATATCAAACGTCTTAATTATTCCGCAATGTCAACTAGACTAAATTTTAGCTAAGGGGTTTTGGGGTTTTGGGGTTTTGGGGTTTTGGGG